TGCAGACTCATGATCAAAGGGCTTAAATGTCTTACAAAGCCATCAGCTGCCCTTCAATTCACCTATAGTCTCAATGCAATCCCAATTACAATATAATGTCATCCCACCAGGGCTAGTCTTTTCTTTTAAAATGGAAATTCTTAAGATATTTCTAAAATTTACAGAAAGTTATAAACTGTTGAGTTTTCCACACCTCACAACTCAACAAGCAGTACATAAGAAGTAAGAAACGGTGGACTGTGGTGAAGGCAGGTCTGTGCACAGGCTGCGCGCAGGCAGGACGCAGAGGCGGCTTTCATGGACCGGGTGCAGCCTCTCCAGGTTCTTCCTGAACGACGGATCAAGGAAGGAGGGGCGACGGGCAGATTCCCCAGCTGTCTGATCTCTCCCTTTATGGCGCAGTCGTAGTTGTCATTATGGCCATAGTCTCAGTCATCAGAGCTCCATTATCCAAGTCTCCTCAAGGACCTCAACGTCTCCAAATTCTCAGTTTTCCTCCTCATCTTCTTGTCTTCTCTTCGTTACTGTGCTCTCTTTCTATCTGTTTCCTTTGTGGTCTGCTTCTATGTGTGCCGTTGTGCTCTTTTCTCTCTGTCTCTCTAGTCTCTGACTCTTGTCTCTGTAGTCTCTCCTCTGGTCTCTGCTTCCGGTCTCAGTCTCTTCTCTCCAGTCTTGGTAGTCTGTCCTTTTCTAACTTTCATCTTCTACTTCTAACCTTGGCGTTGTGCTCTTCTCCTAAGCCTTCTGTCTTCTGTCCGTGCCATTGTGCTCTGTCTCACTCTGTCTCCTGGTCTCTAGTCTGCTGCCCCTGTCTTCTTCTTCAGTCTCTGGTCTCTTCTTCTTCTGACCTCTTCTAACCCTGTTGACCTTGGTAACCTTATAATCTTCTGATTTCTCCCAATCTTCTAATCATGGTGACCTGACCTTTCTAGCCATCTGACCTGACCTCTCTGACCTGACCTGCCCAGCCCCTTACAGCATAGTTTACATAGAAATCATGTAGGATGGGAATACCTTTGTATTATGGGGTAGGATGGGAATACCTTTGTATTATGGGGGTGAACATTAACAAATCAACAAAGAGAGGTAAGGCCACTCCTCCAGGAGATTAACTCTAGGACAGAATCTTATCTAAAGAGATTACTCCAGATTACTAGGAGATCCACTCAAGGGTGGGATTCCATTCAGGGTGTGTTGCTTTCTTCTTTCCTCAGCTAGTAATTCACTTAAATAGTTTAGTAAATTTACTTCTTATAATATTTCTAGCAATGTCATTTTGTACAAGCACAGTAAAAGATACATCAAGCTTAAAGTTTGGTTCTTCCTGAGGATATCTCACTATATATTCCAGACCATAGTCCTCAGGCCAGATTAGACTTCCGAACCCCAGCAGGGTCCTTATTCAGTTACCTCTTTTGGGTCATGATATAGATTGCCCATGACCGTGCTCTTAACTTATAGTTAAGTATTATGGCGCTTGGCTTGGTCCATTTCGATGCCAGGGTAGCTCACAGCTTGCTCTGGGTCCATCAGTCCCTCATCGGGACCCAGCTCTTGGAGTGCTAGGAATTAAGGACAACTGAGGCTTAAGTAAGTAAATACGGATGCCCAGGAGTAAATATTATTCTGGAGTCAATTAACTCCCTTGTTACATAGCATAGCATCAATTGTCTTCCTGTATCTATAAAAAAAAGTACAGTGCTAAATAATCCATACAAATGACATAAAGGAAAGAAAAAAGCAATATAGGATTGTTGGTTGTGCCTCAGTTGCACTGCTGTAGGAGTGGCTCATTAGACCTTAAGCTCCCTGCCAGAGCAGCAAAGACAACCCAGTGTTATCCAACAATAAACTGTCCACTCAGGCAAATTTTAAAGAACAGAGTTGGAGGTCTTAATATATCTCACTTGAAAAAAAAACTGTTATTAAAACTGGGCTATTATAAATAGATCAATGACAGAATAGAGAGCCATAAATAGACCCACATTTAAGAATTTAATTTAAACAGAAACAACACAATAACGGGTAAAGGAAAAGTTGTGGTGTTGTTTCTCTAAAACAAGGTGCTATTCAGTTCATAATGGAGAAAGATGAGCCAGAAACCCTATTTCAAACCACACACAAAAGGTAAATTCAGAGAAATCACAGACACCACAGTTGAGATCTCCAAGTGTTTAGAAGAATACATACTCATGATTCACAGTAAGGAGATTTTTCTCAGATAAGACATACTGTAAAAGAGAAACAAACAAACAAGCGCCAAAACAAAAATTTCAGCTCATTGAAAGAGCAACCAGGGTCTTGACATAGAGGGGCTAAGGTGCTTGTGTGCATGCAGTTGGCCTGGCTACCCCCAGGTACCTTCCCCAGTACCACACAGAGCTCCTGAGTACTGTCAGTGAGCCTCCTCCAAGTTGATAGTACTAAGAATATAAAGAGCAAGCCACAGAATACTTGAGAAACATGGTTACTTCACAATGTATAGTATTGAGAACATAGTAAAAATAAATAAAACTCAATGAATAGCAAATAACTCAGTTAGAAAATAGCTTAATGGGGCTGGAGCAATAGCACAGCAGGTAGGGTGTTTGCCTTGCACGCGGCAGACCCAGGTTCGATTCCCAGCATCCCATATGGTCCCCCGAGCACTGCCAGGAGAGATTTCTGAGTGCATGAACCAGGAGTAACTCCTGTGCATCGATGGGTATGACCCAAAAAAGCAAAAAAAAAAAATAGCTTAATGATATGAATAGAAAATTCACAGAAGATGTAAAAATTGCTGGTAAGCACATGAGAAAGGGCACTACCATCTGGCCAACACAAATTAAAACCACAGATTTCCTACTCTTATACATATAACTAAAGAACTACCATTAAAAGATGGAAAAGATGTGAAATAATAGAACTCTTAAGCACTGTGAGAGGAAGTGCAACATGGCAATCACATGTGAAGAAAGCCTAGAAATTTTTGAAAAAAAAATTCATTATTTTATGATCTAGACATTCTCCTAAGTATTTTTTTTTCTTTTTTTTTGGGTCACACCGGTGATGCACAGGGTTTACTCCTGGCTCTGCCACTTCTGGCGGTGCTCAGGGGACCATATGGGATGCTGGGAATCAAACCCGTGTCAGCCTCATGCAAGGCCCTACCTGCTGTGCTATTGCTCCAGCCCCTCTCCTAAGTATTTTTCAAAGGAAAATGCAAGCAAATTATCAACAACAAATTGTAGAATGTTTACAGCAGCTTTACTGGCAGCTAAAACTGGAAATACTCAAAATTCTTTTAATAAGGGAAAATGAACAATGATACAGTCATACAACAGAATAGTACTCAGCAATGAAAAGGAACACACTATGTACTTGTTTAAACACAGATTAAACAAAGAATTTCTCAACAGGGGTGGGAGTGACTGTACAATGAGTAGGGCATTTGCCTTGTATGAGGCCAACCCAGGTTCTATCTTTGCCTCCACATATGGTTCCCTAAATCCTGCCAGGAGTGATCCCTGAGTCCAGAGCCTGAAGTAAGTCCTGACCCCAAATAAGCAAATAACCATATAAATAAAAATACATCACTAACCATTATGCTGAAAGAAAGCCTTTCACAAAAGGGTGGAACTATATGGTATCCTTGATATGAAGTCGTAGAAGAGACTAATCTTCGGAGGAAAGATGTCAGAATGAGTGAGGAACTTTGAAGGCAGAGGTAAGGATTGACTGGGATGGAGTATAATGGTAAAGTATTAGGATGATAACATTAAGAAAAAAAAAGATCTTGTTAGGAATTTCAGCTACACAGATGTAATATTTATTTGCCCAAAGTCAGCTAATGCATGCTGAAAATGTAAGCTGTTTATAAACTGTACCTTCCACAAAAAGAGACAGAAACACACTGCATAGCTCAAAGGGCTCAGTGGTAGGCAGGAAGCCCATGTTTGATCCTCAAGCACCGTGTCAGAAGCTACCCCAAGCACAGAGCCAGGCCGAACGCCCGAGCAAATGCCCGACCCCCCACAGAAACTAAACACAAGGTAAAGGTAAAGGCCCTCCCATTGATCGTCGATTTGCTCGAGCGGGCCCAGTAACGTCTCCATTGGAGACTTTGTTGTTACTGTGTCTGGCATATCGAATACTCTCGGTAGCTTGCCGGGCTCTCCGAGAGGGGCGGAGGAATCGAACTCGGGTCGGCCATGTTGGCCGCTTGTAAGGCGAACGCCCTACCCGCTGTGCTATCGCTCCGGCCCAAACACAAAACAAAACAAAAGAATTATGTACCCTAGAGAGACCGACAATTAATTAGTTTAAAAGTGCAAGGATATCTGGAATTTTCTTTGAAATACATTAAAAATGATATGACTATAGATGAATACACACAGGCTAGATACATGGAAAAAGGGAGTAAAAGGTTAAAGATAAAATGTAAGTGTAGACATATAGGAAGTCAATATCATTTTTTTTTTCTTCTCCTTTCTCAGTCAGGGGTGTGCTCTGTGGTAGAACACAGACCTTGCGTATGAGAGGCACTGGGTTCCTCCCTAGCGCCACATATACACACAAAAATTACACAATTTCTTAAACTCTAATAATCAACTGAGGTAATACATATTTGGGGGGGAGGGGGAGGGAGAGAAATCTGAGAGGGGGCACTTAGGATAAGCACATGCTTTATGCCAGGTGCTAATCAACTGTGTCTCAACTGTGTCCCCTTAATTTTCAAAATGGACAGTGGAGAGAGAGTTGACCATTTTCCTTCACATATTAGTACCAGGGCTTCCTAGCTTGACAGTGCTCCAGGAATAACAAACTCATTCCTCACTGGCAGGGGTGGGGAGGAGGGGTGAATAACGTGCCACAAAACTCAGCAATGTGGAACTTCTCAAAAAATGTTGTATTGAACACAGCCCTATTTTTCAAGGCTCCAATATGCCAAAACGAAGGTCATTTGCTGTAGATAACTCGAGCCTGGACATGGAGAATTCTCCTGAGGGCCGCAGACTTACCTCATTGCTATGCCGTACGATTCCGGGTGAATACAAGTTTGGTCCAAGGGATTCGGTTTCATTACAGAAGCTGCTGGAGTTTTGGTCTTCTTCTTGCCTGGCTCACCACCAGCAAAGGGGGCCGGACCCTCTCCCAGAGCTTGGTGCGCAGGTTCAGGTTGTTGACTACCATCACCATGTAAAAGTTGGGGCACAGGGAGTGAAAGTTGAGCAGAAAAGGAAAGAACAGTTAAGGGGACGCGTCCTTCCTCCCCTGCCCCACAGACACGCACACACAGCGACCACATTCTCATCCCTTCCAGCAAAGGAACGAACACTGATGGGGTTAAACACTGTAAATATGGGTTTCTGTTACTTAGAGCCAAAAAACACAAGTAATTTAGTCTGAAAATGGGCATTCGAGGAAAGAACAGACAAGAATGAGGGGCAACAAATTCAATGAGGAGAATGAGGAAATGAAGTAAAGATGATTTCCCTACGCTGAAGAAAAACACAAGGCTTCAAATGGAACAACAACAAAAAAAAGCTACAGCACGTAGAACTGGATGAAAGGATTGAATGCATATTTGAAAGAACATATGGGTAACTTTAGACTAGATTTCTTTTTTTTTCCTTTTTGGGTCACACCCAGCAATGCTCAGGGGTTACTCCTGGCTTTGCACTCAGGAATTACTCCTGGCAGTGCTCAGGGGACCATATGGGATGCTAGGGATCGAACCCGGGTCGGCCATGTGCAAGGCAAATGCCCTACCCACTGTGTTATAGATCCGGCCCTAGACTAGATTCTTAAAAAACAAGGAAAAAACCCATTATTTTGAAAGGGACTAGAATCAGACTGGTATCATATTTCAGATTGGCAAACATCAGATGCCAGAATATAGTGAAAATACCTTAAAAATTTTTGAGAGAAAAATAATTTGGAGGGGGGCAAGGAGAAAAAAAACCAATTTTGGATCAAGAATCATGTGTCTAATTAATCTAAGTATCATTTTATTAATCATGTGTCAGATTTAAAATCATTTTTAGACAAAAACTTAAGTACAACCTATATAAGATATTATCTCTGAAAATAATTTGTCTTTGTTTTTGGGTTTTGGAGTTTTCAGGGTGCAATGCAGGGCGTTACCTACTGTACTAGCTCTCCTAAAAAAAATTTCTTTTTTAAAAAAAAAAATATATATAATCAACAATAAATTTAAGAAACAAAATAATTTGGGTTATAAGAAACAGTAATAAGTAGAGAACACATAAAATTATTAAATAATCTACCTATACATGTATGTGCATCCTGAAACTATAATCCCAGCTATATTATTATCTAATATAGAGATGAAGGGAAGAAGTTTTGGGAAAGTTCTAAGGTTTAAGCCTCTCCTATTATGAAAGAAACAACTATTAGCTCCAGAACTTAGCACAAATCAAATCTAAGAGTAGTCAGCAGAATAATTGAAGAGAACAACTTTGAAAACACTAAGGAAGAGAAAGAGAAAAACAAAAAGAAAATGTTTTAAATGAAAAAACAAACAAATAGCATGGAATGGAAAAAAATCAGAAAGCATGATGACAAAAACTAAGAATAAGATGGAAATTAAGTCTGAAGAGATCAATAAAGAAAACGTGAATATACTACAACTGAAACATGAAATTCAGCTATGCTCCTAAGAGTTATATTAAAATTTGCCTATGATGTAAGTTTGAAAATAAACAAATTAAGCGTATTCAAAAGGCAAATAGAGTAACATGTTAAAAAATAAAATAGATTTCAAAGCAAAACATCTAAATAGGATAGCCAGGGCCCATTCTGAATGAAGGCATGATTTATCAGAAATCTTAAAGGACCTCATTAGTTGAAAAAAAAAACCAAACAGTTAATACAGCCCAACCATTTATTTATTATAGGCACTGGTTAAATTATGGTTTACTTATATATTTAGTTCTCTATATTTGAAACAGAATGTTAACTGACTACAATGACAGAATAACTGAATACAGAATAACTGAAACAAAGCCAGTTTTAAATATTTTAAAAAAATTCCTTCTGTATGTATTAAAAACCATAAACATATATATGTGGGCATTAGTATAAATTTATTTTTAGGAAGTAATATTTAACGAACTAATTTAAGGTAAGAAATTTACTATATAAAGCCCCTTATTTTAAATTTTATTCCTTTTTAGAGTTATGCTTGGGCTGGAGCAATAGCACAGTGGGTAGGGCATTTGCCTTGCACGCAGCCGACCCAGGTTCGATTCCTCTATCTCTCTCAGAGAGCCCGGCAAGCTACGGAAGTATCCCGCCCACACAGCAGAGCCTGGCAAGTTCTTTGTGGCGTATTCGATATGTCAAAAACAGTAACAATAAGTCTCACAATGGAGACGTTACTGGTGCTCACTCAAGCAAATCGATGAATAATGGGAGGATAGTGCTACACTGCTACAGAATTATACTTGAATTTTTTAACCAAATGCTCACCAAAATAAATAAATAAATAAAACAAAGAAACAGGATTATTTCAGTATCCAAAATAATATTTTTTCCATGTCTGGGTTTTATGGTCCAGCTAAAAAGAAGTTCTAGCACTTCAATGTTCTGCACAATTTCCCCATGTTTTCTTCTGGTACTTTCAGTTTCACTTTCTGCTATTTAAGTCTATGACCCATCTGGAATTTATTTGGACATAAAGTCTGAAGTAGAACTATAGTTTCCCACACACATACCATATTCCTGCCAGTTGTCATAATTCCATTTATTGAATAATTAATCTAATTTTCTCCATTTAAGAAAATAATAGGGGCCATATCCAGTGGTACTAGGCCCTTGCTGGCAGTGTGGGGGAGGGGAGAGGGGAGTGGTAGAAGAAATCCAACCCCAGGTGGCCCACTTTGTCCCTGGAGTCATCTCCCCAGCCTTCCCCACTACTTGAAACAACCTCTTTATCATCAGTTAAATTCTGTGTCTTGGTGGATTTCACACTCAATGCTACAATATCTATAACATAGTCTGTGTCTAATTATTTCTGACTTATAATGCATTTGGTTATCCAGTAGTGTTTGTTTTCCCTTAATTAATCTGTTCCAGGATAAAAGTTATCTTTCCATAAAATGTTTATTATAATTCCAGAGAAAGAAAAAGTATATATATAATTTCTTTGCTCTGTGTGTGTGTGTGTGTGTGTGTGTGTGTGTGTGTGTGAGAGAGAGAGAGAGAGAGAGGGAGAGAGAGAGAGAGAGAGAGAGAGAGAGAGAGAACAGAATTAGAAAGTCAGAATTTAACTATCCCTAATAGAAACACGGGAGGGTGGAGTGGAGAAGGTCACCGCTTAGAAGAAAGGTGTCAAGGTGAAATCCTCTTTGTCATCAATTCTGGTAAAAGTCCTTTCCACGAACATTGTCCCAGTCACACAGGCTCACTTTCATCTCTTGAATACACCAAAACTGGTGTGCCTAAAACTGGTGTGCCTGTAACTCCATGAGATCAGGCCCTCGGGAAATGCGCAGCTGGACACTCCCAACAGCAGTGGGAACGAGTGTGAGCCCCACCGTCCCTAATGAGCGAAGGAGGGTATACAGACACCTACGACTTCCGCCTATGAGGAAGATGGGGAACACTAAGAGAGAAGGTAAGATAGACAGTCAGAAGCGGACAGAAGCGCTCACTTTAACAACTACCTGCAAAATGTCCGAATATAATCCTGGTTGACTCTGATGAAGCCAGCACACTGCTGGAAAGACTTTGGACCCAGGCCTTTCACTTTCTTCAGGAGTTCTCGGTTGATGAAGGGTCCATTTTTCTCCCGCCACTCAATAATGTTCTTGGCGCGGTTGGCATTGAGTCCTGCAATATGCCTAAAAAATTTTAAATAAAATGATTACTGTGGCCGGCATAGCAGGTCTAAAAGAAATCATCTGGAGTGATAACGATATAAAAACATGTGCATTGGGAACACACTTGCACTCACATATTACCCTGTGCCACTATCAGTTGCTCAAAGAGAAATGAAATAAAAGAGAAATGGAAAGGAGTTATTTCAAAGGCGAGAAGGACAAAGAATGGGAAAAAAAAGACAAAATCATGAGTTGTCCTAAAGATCCTGAAAAATTGTGTAACACCAGAAGAAAAGACCAATCCCTCTCTCCTCTCCTACCCCCTTCCTTCCTCCTTCCCTCCCTTTTCCACCCTCTCTCTCTTTCACAGTTTTGGGGGCTCATCTGGCAGTGCTCAGAGAGTACTCCCAGAATAATGCTCAGAATTACTCCTGGCGATGCTGGGAAATGGCCATGAAGTGACAGGAATCAAAACCCAGGGGCCTCCGCACACAAAAACTACATGTCAGCCCTTTGAGCCATTGCCCCAGTCCCACAGTATTTCCAAGCTACTCACATTCCGGTATTTCTGAATCAATAATAATTCTGCCTGTTCCTGTTTAGCTTACAAAGTGAGCAGAAGTTATAGCTACAGTTATGTTGTTCTAACCAATTTTTTTGGTCAGCCTGTTCTCATTAGCGTCAAGAGTTCCACGATAGAAAGGCATTTATCCCTGAATGCTATGGTTAGTATAAAAATATGAAAAACTATATCATTAGGTAGTTTTCTTGGTGTTAATAAAAAGATCACTATTTCAAAGAAACTCGATTCCATTAGCGAATTCCATATATGGAATAGCAGAATGTGGGTATGGTAGCAAAACAAAGCCTTAACCATTCTAAGGGATATTTTCTGCAATTTCAAAGGGTATTTTCTACAGTTTTAAAGCAAAAAGGTATAGATCTTTCCAGAGGTTCAGAATTTCATGCTGCATCAGCAGACTCTATAATAAATGGAAAACCATGAACAATAATAAAAAAAGGGCGGGGGAGTGCTTCACTAGACACGGGGGGGGAGGTGGTTGGGGGAAGACAGTGCATAAGATGAGATTATAGCATGATGGAGATTTGGATGTGGGACTTGTGGAATCAAGGTAAAGGTATGATCACCATACCTTGAACCGTCAGAATTTACCTTTTGGTTACTGCCAGCTTTGACAGCTGTCTGTATGAGACTGAACCAGTGAAAATAGCTACTCTTGTGTGGTGGGAAACAGCTCTTTTCCATGTTAACCTTATTTAAATTCTATTAGCGACACTAATGTACTCAATGGTTACCATATGCTCTTCACTTTAGATTTGCGGTATTAAAAATGATAATGTGAATTGTAACAATTCTTTCCTTAAATGATGTCTTCCCTTCTGACTGGTTATTTAAAGCCCTGTATGAATGCCGAGATTCTCTATACTTGAAAACTTTACACATGTGTCTGCTTGTTCGAGCTGTGTCTGAAGTGGACTGACGGTTAAATTCAAGTGTCTGTGATCTTCAGCCCACAGACTCTTGTCTCACCTCAACAAAACTTCTGAGCAGATGTTAATATCCACTCCAACAAAACTGACACATTCTTCTACAACACTGTCCAGCGTTGCTTTTAGTAAAGTCTGGGACACATCATGCTGAAAAGACAAAGATCAAGTACCAATTAGAAGTGAAGGGCATTGAGTTCTGGGATTATCCCATCATTTTGCCTACGTTACTGGTAGCTGGCTGAGATAAAACAACAAAATTATTCTTTTTCCTTAAGTACTCATTGGTAGACATAATCATGTTAAACTCTAATCATCTGTATCTCCTTGATCTCTAAATTATTAAATATAAGCAATCTACACTGGCTGTAGTATTCCTTATTTTTTTTTTTTAGTATTCAAATCTTCTGAATTTTTTCACTTAGTCAATACTCAAGTTTTCCCATAGAGTCCTGTCTTTTATACTATCATAAGTCTTAGTAATTAGCGGTTCTGAAAAGAGCAAATTCTCCATTGTTTCTGAGATTTCCTTTCTAGTTTCAAGTTTCTGGTGCTTATTCTGTTAACTTTGATGATAGTCCTATAAAAAGAAGAAACAACCAAAAAGATTTTCTGTCCTTTAAAATTCTCAAATGTTTGACTGGCCAGTGGTTTACCAACTAAAACATTAAGGGTTTTCAGTTCACTCAAGTTTCCAGGGTTAATAAGTAAAAACTACACCATGACTTATCATAGAAATAGCAGCAATGTGGGATACCACTAATTGTAAGAAGAATTTTATGCCTGATTTTAGATACATTAAATGTGAAAATGCATGTATTTTGAAATTCATAAAATGCAGTATTTGTTAGCTAACTGAAGCCTGCTTACTATAGTAGCTCATAATATACATATATTATTATAATTCTAAAAGTTAAGGTTCTCCAGTTGTTCCAAGATACAAAATTGTGAATCAGCATTCTTCTTTACATGGCTCAAGAAAATAAGGATAGGTTTGATAACTGTAAACTCTTAGGAATACAATATAATAAATATTGAGTCCTATAATATGATTTGATTATCATCCCTTGATAATAGAAGTTTTTATTCTGGAAGGCCAAAGGGTATAGAAGTCCTTTTATTTCAGATAACCGAGTACGTAATCGTTGGATCACAGCTGAACAAAATACAGATGCAGGGACCAGAGAGATAGTACAGAGGCTTAGGCACTTGCCATGAATGTGGCCAACTCTAGTTTGATCCCTAGAACCACATTTGGTTCCTTAAGTAAGGAGTTCTTAAGCAAGAGTGCTTACTGAGGCCTGCCAGGTATGGTCCAAACATCCTCCCCACTTCCCAGTACAGATGTAATTTAAAAAACCTAAAACATAATAAAATAAAAATCATAAAGAAAAAAAAAGGGGCTGGAGCCAGAGCAGAACTAAGGCAGAGAGGGCATATGCCTGACAGGGGTTCAATCCCCAGCATCCCATGTGGTCCCCAGAGAACCGCCAAGAATAATTCCTGAATGCAGAGCCAGGAGTAACCCCTGAGCATCACCGAGTATGACCCAAAAAGCACTCCCCCCCCCCCAAAGAAAAGAACACAAAGTGCTGTGTTGAAAATTAGATTGTGCTTGAACCACAGCTTTATTTTATTTTGTCTTAGTGGAGGAGAAGCAACAAAATGAAAAGGGACTTAAAAAAATCAAGAGGATATGATTGAGAGATAACAATGTAAAAATAAGTCCAATGACAAGAAGATGGAAAAAATCTGAAGAAAGACTAAAGTATAAAGAAATGGGAAAAGCTAAGATCAATACTTGGAAGCTACTGGAATAAAGGCAACAAATGCTCTTATTTCCCAAGCATACCGCTTTTGGGACATCCAAAAGCCTAGTCATTCTTGGGGCAGCCAATCAGATAGACTGTCCCAGCTCCAGCTTCCATCCCTTTTTTTTCTCTTCCAAACAGAAGCTTTTAAGCATCAATCCTACCTCTGACAGGCCATATTCTCTGGGGGAGGCAGGCTATATCTCAGCAAATGATAATGAGTGGTTAAACATCAGTGGTTTTCAATCTGAGGGTATGACCAATTAGAGGGCCATAAAGTTAATTTACTTCGTTTATAGATCTGGATAGTAATATGTGTGCCTTGCCCACAGAATTTTCAAGACCAATGCCTTGAACCATCTAATTTACCATAAAAAAGGAAAAACATAACACATTCCACTGGACCACACCGATTTCTGCCCCATGTGTGGTCAAGTAAGAGGGTCTAGGCTAAACCAATCCTGGTTTGTGGAAAAGAAGCCAATAAACAAAAATTGAAATAACCTATGCTGTCACTAGTACCAAAATATCAGCAAAGAAATACTGGACATGGGCCCAAGTGATAGTATAGTGGGTACATAGGATCATGTTTTGCTCACAGATACCATTGTGTAAATGATAACTGACTACTGACTAGTGCAAAGTGAAAAAGTAACTTTACTGGGTTAGAAAGTAGAGTGCGGGTAGGGCGTTTGCCTTGCATGCAGCCAAGCCGGTTCAATTCCCAGAATCCCATATGGTCCCCTGAGCACCACCCGGAGAAATTCCTGAGTGCAGAGCCAGGAGTAACCCCTGTGCATTGCTGGGTGTGATGCAAAAAAAAAAAAAAAATGAAAGCAGAGTGCTGATTCTTTCGACCAGTTTAGTTACAAGTTTTCAATGTATTTTTCAGAAAGGATATTAATTAGTATAACATTTTGCAAATTATCAACAATTATGATATTTTAATGGAATAAATAGAAATTTTCCTTAAGATGAATTCTTATGCCTAGAAAAAAAAAGATAATGATATAAAACTAGAGAAGCAGCTCAATGGTCAAATCTGGAGTTACTGATGCAACTGACAGAAAATGCTGATGTCAATCACCAGTTCTGGCTTGATTTGAGTCAAATTTTACATTAAAGGCAAACAAAACAGCATGAGGACAAAGCTGAGTCCCTGAGGACACAAGGTGGCATGCAAGGAAAGGACCTGAGGCCGCGTATTACCCACTTCTGCTGACCTTCTTGTAACAAAATTAATATACTGCTTAATAAGGCCTTTACTGCTTAATAAAGAAAGAATAAATGTCTTTTTATCCAAGTCAGTGGGAGCTTGGGATAGCTGGTGTTTTTCTACTGCAGGCGCCATTTAGGGAAGAGGAAGACAGCAGAAAGCAACTGAAAATAACTACACCAGCATCTTGGGGATTTTTAACTGTCAGACTTTGTAATGTTATCTCATTCAATCTTCTAACAATTATAGAAAATTCATATAACATTTCATGCAGTGTATTCATACAGGGGCTGGAGCGATAGCAAAGTGGGTAGGGCATTTGCCTTGCAGGCGGCTGACCCGGGTTCGATTCCTCCACCCCTTTCGGAGAGCCCGGCAAGCAACCGAGAGTATTCCGCCCGCATGGCAAAGCCTGGCAAGCTCCCCGTGACGTATTAGATATGCCCAAAACAGGAACAACAAGTCTCACAACGGAGATGTTACTGGTACCCGCTTGAGAAAATCGATGATCAACAGGAGGACAGTACTACAGTGCTACAGTATTCATATAGAAGAATGTATTCTGAGGAGCTTGCAAGACACATAAAAGTGCATGTGTGTGTGTGTGAGTGCATACATTCTCCATAGAAAAATTAATGGAAAGATTAGTTGAATCTAAAATTAATGGAAAGTGACTTGATTGATACAAGTAAGTTACTGAGCAGGCACAAAGTGAACTGTTACAAGTTCATTTAAAAGTGTAAGGGGGGGTGTGGTACAGAACAACCTGTACCTGCTGGGCGAGTGCATCAGCAGCTTGATGGTGCCTTCAGGCTTCCTGATACCACAAAATTTCCACGGTGCCTTTGGCCAAACCCCAACAACTTGGGACCAAGTTTACCAAGAAACTGAAATGGCCAGAAGTTAGGTATGTGGGAGCCACACACACAAACCACCTCCAGCTTAGCAGTACAAGCTCATTTATTGGCCTTATTTCAGAGACCCAATACATAAATCTCAAAAGAGATTAAAAGCTGCAGTTAATCTCAGGCCTGTGCATGGTTGAACAGATGGGGTAAACCAGAGAGGGACAGGTTAGTCTGGCGCCCGTTCAAGCAGAGCCCTTGGCAGCCACTTGCTTCCACAATCCAAAATCACCTCCATACCCTCGGCCTGATTCCACCATCGTAGGATAGACATCTCCAAGATAAAATCTGCTGAGAAACTGGGTACGTGGGTTTTGTGAGTGAAATCTCCACGCTTTCTCAGGGTTGGGATGGGCTACCTCCCCCCACCTCTCTGTACTTCCAGAAACCTTAGCAGTCACATCCGCACCCCAACGCTGCCACCCAGTTGACAAGCTACTCCGTCCTGATAAAAATACCGAATGCCCTGAACAAACACCATGACTGCTTAGCACCTGTATTGCAAACCATAATGCACAAAAGGAAAAAAAGAGAGAGAGCAAGAAGGAAAGTGCTCCCAGAGAGGGAGGCTTGGGGTGGGGGGTGGGAAGGTTGGGGGATGGTGAGAGGGAAACAATGGGCATTGGTGGTGGGAAATGTACACTGGTGGAAGGATGGGTGCTGGATCATTGTGTGACTGAATCCTAATTATGAACAGCTTTGTAATGGTCTATCTCTGTAGCACTGTCCTCCCATGGTTCATCAATTGGCCTGAGCGGGCACCAGTAACATCTCATAGCAAATTGTGAGGCTTGTTATTACTGTTTTTGGCATATTGAATACGTCACGGGGAGCCTGCCAGGCTTTGCCGTGCAGGTGAGATACTCTTGGTAGCTTGCCGGGCTCTCCGAGAGGGGTGGAGGAATCGAACTCGGGTCGGCCATGTTGGCTGCGTGCAAGGCAAACGCCCTACCTGCTGTGCTATCGCTCCAGCCCATGGTCTATCTCATGGATATTAAATTAAAAAACTTTTTTTTAAAGTAATGTGGCGTTCATGTCCAATTCAATCAGTTTAATCAATGGCTGAATAAATAGCAGTACTCCTATATTTTAAAAAAAGTCTAAAAGAACAGTTGCCATACCTAAAAATACACCGATTTAAAATATTTTTAAACTTATGCATCAGAATCATACTAGAAAAATTTCTGCAAGTGCTACTGTCAGAGTTAGTCCTGGAGT